GCCAGGTACAGCAGATGATCAGAACTTCCCCATCCTGTCCATTTTGTTGCCATGAAAGTATACATTCTACATGAGATTTATGGTTAATATAAAGTGTCATATTCAGGGTAAGGCAGGAGTGGGCTAACTCCGGCCGTGATGAAACTACAGATCTCATCATACATCTGCCTCTGGAAGTCATGCCTGTGAGAATCTTGCAATGCCTCATGGGATTTGTAGTTCCACAACAGCTGAAGGGTGCCTGGTCTTGTCTCCGCCCCCCCCTGTAATAAAGACCACTCACTGCTGCTCTCTCTCCTTGTGCAGGGTCACTGGTCTTGTAGTTCCTGCAGGCAGCTCGTGGGTGGGGTCTACTGGGCCCCTCCCACAGCTCTGCTCTCTGCACAGGCCATGTACAGCAATTATGTCACTGATACATTTTACAAGGTAATATCCGGGTTTGTAGAGGCATTTGGTGCCCACAGAGTGGATTAGCATTCCTTGTGGCTATGGACCAGGTAAGTAAAAGTCCTTTACACAGGTTCCCTAGACATTAAAGAGCAGTGAACCCTTGTAGTGGCGGGGCAGCACGAGCAGTTAACCCTTGCAGTGCTGGGGTAGCATGAGCAGGTAACCCTCGCAGTGGCGGGGTAGCACGAGAAGTTAACCCTTGCAGTGCTGGGGTAGCATGAGCAGTTAACCCTTGCAGTGGCGGGGTAGCATGAGCAGTTAACCCTTGCAGTGCCGGGGTAGCATGAGCAGTTAACCCTTGCAGTGCCGGGGTAGCATGAGCAGTTAACCCTTGCAGTGCCGTAGTAGCTCATTAAAGAGCAGTGAACCCTTGTAGTGGCGGGGCAGCACGAGCAGTTAACCCTTGCAGTGCTGGGGTAGCATGAGCAGGTAACCCTCGCAGTGGCGGGGTAGCACGAGAAGTTAACCCTTGCAGTGCTGGGGTAGCATGAGCAGTTAACCCTTGCAGTGGCGGGGTAGCATGAGCAGTTAACCCTTGCAGTGCCGGGGTAGCATGAGCAGTTAACCCTTGCAGTGCCGTAGTAGCATGAGCAGTAAACACTCGCCGTGCCGGGGTAGCATAAGCAGTTAACCCTTGCAGTGCCGTGGTAGCATGAGCAGTTGACCCTTGCAGTGGTGGGGTAGCATGAGCTGTTAACCCTTGCAGTGGTGGGGTAGCATGAGCAGGTAACCCTCGCAGTGGCGGGGTAGCATGAGCAGTTAACCCTTGCAGTGTCGGGGTAGCATGAGCAGTTAACCCTCACAGTGCCGGGGCAGCACGAGCAGTTAACCCTTGCAGTGTCAAGGTTATTTTTTTCCCCTGGAGATAATGTAGGCTTTGATGAAGGACTATGGACAAATAATGAAACGTACCCAAGAACTCCGGGTATGCACAAAATGAACCCTTGCAGTGTGGCTACCCCTGCACTGCAAGGGTTAAGTGCTCATTTGTCTAGGGGACTGGAATAAAGAGGATATACTCACCTGATCCTTGGTCCCGTGGTGGTGACCGCTCACCCCTCACCCCCTTCACTCCAGCTGTGCAATGTCCTTGGGAACGGTTTATCACCCAGGCGCGACTGAGGATCAGGTGAGTCTATCTTTTTTTATTTAAGGCCTCGTTCACACCACAAACAGTGCGTTCCGGCCCGATTCGGCACCAGAACGCACTGGATCGCATTCCGGACGGCTCCCTGCGTTATGGGGCGGGCGGGAGCCACGCACCCCCACCCCTCCCCGGCCGCAGTGCCTGCGTTTGAGTCCGGTGCGGGCAGAAAAAATGCTTTTATCTGACCGGACCAGAACGCAGGAGTTGATGTGCCACGTTTTCCGGTGCGACCGATCGCACTGCATCCAGGGGGCGTGGCTGTGGTACCATTGACTTCAATGCACCACCACACCCCCTCCCGCCCCAGAACGCAGTGAGCCGGCCGCGATCCGATCCTGTGCGTTCCCGCACCAAATCGGGTCGGAACACACTGTTTGTGGTGTGAACTAGCCCTTGGACCCTAGACCAAAACGAGCACTTAACACTTGCGGTGCAGAGGTAGCCCCATTGCCAGGGTAAGTTTTTTACTTGCCTGAGGTTCTTCAGCAGGGAGAGTGGGAAGCCTTCATAATGGCCACAGCATGTGCACAGACCCGGGATCCCTGCTGCGAGATGTCATCAAATGAAAGTTTACTCTCCAGCATCTACCTAAAAGTGGAATGTCAGTTTTGGGAGGGCTGACCCGCTCATTTACATGGGACATGAAAATCTGCATGCCGGGATTAATGGCGATGAAACACTGACATAAAAACCATCAATGGCAGCAGCAGTAGACTGATCCAAGTTCTATTACCGGCCAGTCTGTCAGCGGGCCGTCTGCCCCGGGGGCCAGGAGCAGCTAGCATGTGGCCCGCTGTATGAAGGAGCCGTGTATGAAGTAAAATGACTTCTGTCTGTTACAGTCACAGCTCAGCCCATAGAACTCAGCACACTTGTAGAGGTCATTGTAGGATGGAGGGCTCATTGTCAGGGATGAGGTATGAGGATGGGTTGGGGGACGACATACAATAATAGACAGCTGGGAAGTGAATGGGCTCCTCACCCCCTTCTCCCCCACTGTATGTGCCGGTGACATTGTCTCCAGCACAATGTACAACATGCTCATAGTACAGCTTAAATCCTCTCCAGTCATCTGCTTGAATCAGTTCAACCACTCAAGAGTACCTGTCATAGTTCTATCACATCTGTGTAATATAACCGATATCAGGGTAGGAGTGACGTCACTATGTCAGGGTGACAACGGTATAAATGTCTTACTCTTGGGCAGTAATGTTGTCACTCTGTGACAATATATGGGGACACTGGGACATATGTCTTATGTTTGGACAGAACTCCGGACACTCCTGTCACCTATCATAGGTGGATTCTGATTCTTCTCGTGTCTAGTCTGCTTCTGCAGATAATATACAAAAATGAGATGTCACTTCTGTCAAATATATACTTGTAGAGTGCTGATGTCATCTGTGTAAAATATAATGTATATTTAGAGTGGTGATGTCATCTTTGTAAAATATAATGGGGGAGATTTATCAAAACTGGAGCAGCTGCCCATTGTAACCAATCAGCTTCTATCTTTAGTTTGTTCAGTTAAGATTTGAAAATGAAAGAGAGATGCTGATTGGTTGATATGGGCAACTGCTCCTTATTCTGTCTGTTCCAGTTTTGATAAATTCCCCCCATGTATATTTAGAGTGGTGATGTCACCGCTGTTTTTATATATATATATAAATATATATGGAGAGTAGTGATGTCACTTCAGTAAAATGTCATATGCATTTGCAGAGTAGTGATGTTACATTTGTAAATGTATAATATATATAGTGGTACCTCGGTTCACTAACTTAATTCGTTCCACGATTCTGGTCGCGAACCGAATTGATCGCGAACCAAATCAAACTGCGATCAGACCGCGATCTCGACTAGAGGAAGCCACGACCAGGTGTCAGAGCGGGGAAGAGGGCTACGGTTGTGTTCGTCACCCGATGCGGAGTTCGTGAACGGAAGCAACATTTGGTGGAACTTCCTGTTCGTGAACCGAAGTACCACAGTATTTGGAGAGTAGTAATGTCACCCTTGTAAATACACACTGAGTGGCCAGATTATTATGACCACCTGACGTTTGTAGGCAAATTAGCTATAATTTTGCACTGAAGTTGCTAGAGGGCCAGACCATTATAAATAGGGAAGCAGGTTGTTTACCACGACAGTAGAAGTGATTTGTTTCTGAAGATACGGGGAAACAACGCGATTTAACATCCTTTGTACGTGGGATGATTGTTGGCGCTCGGAGCCATGGCGCGAGTATCAGCAAAACAGCAGAATTTGTTAAATGTTCAAGAGCAGCTGTTGTTAAAGTGTTTAAAGACTGGACTATCAGCCGAAAATCTGGGTCTGAACGTGCGAATTGTGGCCGTCTAGTCAATGTTAGGGCAGAACGGAGAGTGGCAAGACTGGTACAAGACAACAGAAGGGCCACAGTGCAGTGTCAGATTCCTCGCATCACCTTTCACCATCTCGTGGAGTCACGAGGCGGCCCAACAAAGTACTGATGGGGTGGTCATAATTATCTGCCCACTCAGTGTATAGCTGGAGAGTAGTGATATCACCCTTGTAAATATATAGTTGCAAAGTAGTGATGCCACCCTTGTAAATATATATCTGGAGAGTAGTGATGTCACTCCTGGAAGTATATAACATATTCTGCAGGAAATAATGTATATTTGGTGAGCGGTGATGACACATGTTGGTAAAGCAGTTCTCTCTATATGTGTGTTATGATTGCAGAGCAGTGATGTCACTCCTGTAAATAGATAACATATACTGGAGAGTAGTGATGTCATCCTTTGTACAACATAACATAGAATCAGAGTAGTGATGTCACTCCTGTAAATAGATAACATACAGTATATTAGAGAATAATGATGTCACCCTTGCACAATATGACTTATAATAAGAGAGAAGTGATATCACTGCTGTTAAACATAACTTATGTATGTAGGTAATCGGTTGCAGCAGATGGCTGATACATGGAATGCAGTCCTTGTACATGTGATTAACTCAAACAGTGCCATTTGGTAACATGTTGCATTGACAGCACATGCCAGACTGCTCGGAGCGACTGCCTGTGAGTACCGGAGGGAGACGGGAGAGGACGAGGCAAGGAAGAGCGATGGAGGAAGGGAGGATGGGCATGGTGTGCACAGAGATGTGAAAGATGCAGGAGGACAGACCAGAGGAGGAATAAGTGATGGAGATGCAGCCAAGAGGAGGAGGAGGAGGAGGAGGTGAGTGACAAGGCTGCATTGAGGAGAGGATCAGAGCGCAGAGACCGGAGGTTGGGGGGGGACAGAGATTGAATTATAAATGTAAGGGATGGAATGGCAGCACATATAGAAGGGGAGCTGATCGGCAGGTGTGACAGTCCCCTCCTCCGTGTCCCTCTTCCTAGGGGGCCCTTAAGAGAGGCGCAACCGAAAATCCACGGCATCCAACCTACGTTCCCTCAGCATGGTGACTGTAAGTACCGCCATCTTATATTATTTCCAAGGGGGATGGGGGGGGTTTGAGGTCTCCTTGAGTGTGATGACGGGAAGGGGTTAAGGATAAAGGCGACGGATTGTATTCTGCACAGGAGAAGACGGATAGAAAAGGGTGGAAGGATGGAGGAAAAATTCCCAGGGGATACCCTTATGGGTCTTGACTACATCTTCCAATGCAGAAGAAGAGAAGATGTTCGATATGGGGGGGGGGGGGGTGCTGTGTCCTTGGTATGCTGGAGTCATGCTGCGTTACCAAGACACAAAGATAGATCAATAGATCGATCGATAGTTAGATTGTATACAGATGATAAACAGCCCAGTTGCAGCTGGTACCTACAGGAACATGATGATGGTGGTGGAAAGGGGGGGTGGAGAGAAGGTTCTTGAGAACAATAGAGGAGACATGGCAGTGATTGGGCGTGTGAGCACGCGTGTGCGTGTAGGCACTGCTGCTTGATGGGCATACAATTTGTATTGTCAGCGTATTGAGCAAATGGAACCATAATAGATACAGTCTGATACATGACTTCATGTTGGAGCAATTGTAACAATTTTACTCTTATTGTTGACTATGTCTTATTATAATGTGCAGCACCCCATCCCGTATACTATATACAGTGCTCCAGCCCTGGGCTGATCCATCAATATGATTGATTTGGGTGTATTGGCTCGGCCCTGTTGCATTGCACCAATGATCTGTATGGCTCACCTACTTAATTGTAATATATATACATTGTGGAAGATTGAATAATATATAGTGTCATGTGACACACTAGACTTGCACCAAGCCTACACGGACTCCAATGGGCTTGCTTAGCCAAGTGTGGCTAACCCGCATAGCTGCCAATCGGAAAGCAGCTTTTATTTGTCCGTCTTATGTACACTGAAATCTGGTTGGATGATATGAGTCGCTGCACTTTGCATGTGAGGATTTGTCTTCCCGCCGCCTTATCGAAAAGGCCAAATTATGAGATGAGGCACCACACTCCCATCAACATTCCAGGTACATATGGGGCTGGTGGTGAGACAGCCTAAAGAAAAGCTGGCACGTTTGGGGGGGCTCATGCAGATCCCCCCGTTTTCGGGGCTTTAGTTCTACAACATGCAAGGCTGGTAGCAGGGCTCTAGTTCTACAAACATGCAAGGCTGGTAGCAGGGCTCTAGTTCTACAACATGCAAGGATGGTAGCGGGGCTCTAGTTCTACAAACATGCAAGGCTGTTAGCAGGGCTCTAGTTCTACAAACATGCAAGGCTGTTAGCAGGGCTCTAGTTCTACAAACATGCAAGGCTGTTAGCAGGGCTCTAGTTCTACAACATGCAAGGCTGGTAGCAGGACTCTAGTTCTACAACATGCAAGGCTGGTAGCAGGGCTCTAGCTCTACAAACATGCAAGGCTGTTAGCAGGGCTCTAATTCTACAGACATGCAAGGCTGGTAGCAGGGCTCTAGTTCTAAAAACATACAAGGCTGGTAGCAGGACTCTAGTTCTACAACATGCAAGGCTGGTAGCAGGACTCTAGTTCTACAACATGCAAGGCTGGTAGCAGGGCTCTAGCTCTACAAACATGCAAGGCTGTTAGCAGGGCTCTAATTCTACAGACATGCAAGGCTGGTAGCAGGGCTCTAGTTCTAAAAACATACAAGGCTGGTAGCAGGACTCTAGTTCTACAACATGCAAGGCTGGTAGCAGGGCTCTAGCTCTACAGACATGCAAGGCTGTTAGCAGGGCTCTAATTCTACAGACATGCAAGGCTGGTAGCAGGGCTCTAGCTCTACAGACATGCAAGGCTGTTAGCAGGGCTCTAATTCTACAGACATGCAAGGCTGGTAGCAGGGCTCTAGCTCTACAGACATGCAAGGCTGTTAGCAGGGCTCTAATTCTACAGACATGCAAGGCTGGTAGCAGGGCTCTAGCTCTACAGACATGCAAGGCTGTTAGCAGGGCTCTAATTCTACAGACATGCAAGGCTGGTAGCAGGGCTCTAGCTCTACAGACATGCAAGGCTGTTAGCAGGGCTCTAATTCTACAGACATGCAAGGCTGGTAGCAGGGCTCTAGCTCTACAGACATGCAAGGCTGTTAGCAGGGCTCTAATTCTACAGACATGCAAGGCTGGTAGCAGGGCTCTAGTTCTACAACATGCAAGGCTGGTAGCAGGACTCTAGTTCTACAACATGCAAGGCTGGTAGCAGGGCTCTAGTTTTACAGACATGCAAGGCTGTTAGCAGGGCTGTAGTTCTACAACATGCAAGGCTGTTAGCAGGACTCTAGTTCTACAAACATGCACGGCTGGTAGCAGGGCTCTAGTTCTACAGACATGCAAGGCTGTTAGCAGGGCTCTAGTTCTACAGACATACAACATGCAAGGCTGGTAGCAGGACTCTAGTTCTACAACATGCAAGGGTGGTAGCAGGACTCTAGTTCTACAAACATGCACGGCTGGTAGCAGGGCTCTAGTTCTACAGACATGCAAGGCTGTTAGCAGGGCTCTAGTTCTACAGACATACAAGGCTGGTAGCAGGACTCTAGTTCTACAAACATGCAAGGCTGTTAGCAGGGCTCTAGTTCTACAGACATGCAAGGCTGTTAGCAGGGCTCTAGTTCTACAGACATGCAAGGCTGGTAGCAGGACTAGTGTTCTACAACTTGCAAGGCTGGTAGCAAGGCTCTAGTTCTATAGACATGCAAGGCTGTTACCAGGGCTCTAGTTCTACAAACATGCACGGCTGATAGCAGGGCTCTAGTTCTACAAACATGCATGGCTGGTAGCAGGGCTCTAGTTCTACAGACATGCAAGGCTGTTAGCAGGGCTCTAGTTCTACAACATGCACGGCTGTTAGCAGGGCTCTAGTTCTACAAAACATACAAGGCTGGTAGCAGGGCTCTAGTTCTACAGACATGGAAGGCTGTTAGGAGGGCTCTAGTTCTACAAACATGCAAGGTTGGTAGCAAGACTCTAGTTCTACAACATGCAAGGCTGTTAGCAGGGCTTTAGTTCTACAACACGCAAGGCTGTTATGTTATTTGTAGTTCTACAGACATTTGGTTCTCTATCGTCTCGCCGTTGTACTGGTCTGTTAGGCCTCCAGTGTCCAGTGCTGCACAGTCTCCCGCATTCACTGTGGCGCATCTCAGATACTCTGTCCTGTGTCACATTTCTAGTTGACATATATTGCCCTGTGCTGCACAGGTTTGTTCAATCGAGCAGCAATGACAAAGCGCGTTAACCCATAGGAACCAAATTTCCATTCACTTTAGTGAAAAATTAATTCTGATTGGGTGCAGCAGTCTGCGCTTTGCTGTTTGCTGTAGTTAGTGAGCTTGCATTGCGTCGTTTGTTACGCTCCGCCTCACATGGAGGCCTTTTGGTAAGGAGTGCAGAGACCAGCAGGATGAACCTAGCGAGCCTCTTTGAGTAATGCGGCACGGCCACATTAACGCAAGCCGGCGAGTGAACGGTCAGTTGCCACGGGTTGCCGCGCACCCTTGCATCTTGCTATATAGGCAAAGGATGGCAGAGGACTGTGTTATCCAAAGCAACCGATCACAGTCATTCATATTCTATGATTGCTATGGGTTACAATGCCAGTTTGGCCACCAAGGAGGCTAAGTGTTGTCTATTAAAAGAAGGCCATGCTACCCTGGGCCCTATAAGCAAACGTCCTCCATTTCCTGTGCCGGTGCCACATCGGCGCTTGACAGTTCACCTTGTGTCACATTCTGTCAGTGACAAAGTCAGCGGCACGCATCTCCTGAAAGGCTCCATTCTCTCCTCAGCCTCCCTCCCCTCCTCCCTGTTTTCTCTGCAGTATCCACTCCTTTCTCTCAGACACAATCCGTCCTCTGTCTGACACTCCACTTTCACACTTAGCCCTCAGATTCACGTACCACGCTCGCCCACCACCCCCAGACACGAAACGCCATAAACAAAAATGGCTGCTCCGTGTTCATTTCTCCAAAATTAAAAAGAATAGCCCGGTGTCTCCATTATGGTCAGGTGAAGGCAGACAAAGCTACACCTACAGGCCCGTGACCATCTTTGGGCCCGGTAGTCCTTCAACCATTGACGACGGTCAGCCATTGCCCTGACAACCACACAGTGCAACGCTGTGAATAAAACACCTTCACCCCAACGAATGGTTGATATTCTTTTTCTAGCGTCGCTGTGGCCTGGGGGTGGCGGGAGGGATGCTGCTGACAGGGGAGATGGATGATGAAGAAGATAATGAGATACATAGCGACGGAGGAGAAGAGGGGATGGCGAGAAGCAAGACAGGTGGAGATGGATTAAGAGGGAATTTGCGAGACATGGAGGCAGGAGTGAGGGTGACATTGTGAGACGGGTAGATGGAGAGAGGAGATTTCAATGCAGGGTCTGTGGGCGGAGGTTGTCATTGTGATGTATGGTGTGGGGAGGATGGAGAAGGGGGTCACGTATATTGGGAGACGGTGATGGAGTAGGGGTAGTGATGATATTAAGGGGGAAAATATATCATGAGATACTGCGGGATTTGGTTGGGGGTAGGAAGATGCTGATGGTTGGTAGAGACGGTAAAGTTCAGGAACGCTTTGAGACAATCTATGGAGGAAAGCAAAAGATGATGTTGTAGCAGAACACCAGACAGGGAAATGTTGTCACACTATGTGGTCAGAATGCATTTTCCATTGCTCATGGATGCCACATCCCCACCACAAGCCCTAAAAAAATATAATTATTCTCCATGGTGACCACAGAACATGAGGTAAAGATACCCCATGGTGACCACAGAACCTGAGGTAAAGATACCCCACGGTGACCACAGAACATGAGGTAGAGATACCCCACAGTGACCACAGAACATGAGGTAAAGATATGCCATGGTGACCACAAAACATGAAGTAAAGATACCCCACGGTGACCACAGAACATGAGGTAAAGATACCCCACAGTGACCACAGAACATGAGGTAAAGATACCCCACAGTGACCACAGAACAT